ATCTGGTTGGGTTCTATAAATATATAATTATAAATGAAAATGAAAAGATAATTATACATAAATATCAATAACATAAAATAAATATAAAAGTACATAAATAAATAAAAGCCCAACCAGATGGAGGGAGACCAAACGGCCGAGGGTTAGGGGGAAAGGGAAAGAAACCGGCGGACGATGCGGGCGGTATCGAGGAGCACCGCCTTCTGCATTTGAACCTGGAGCGATCCACCACGTAGTCCCAGCCGCCTCAGATGACCCGAGAGGCTGACTGGGATTAGCCCGTTTGCAGAGACGACTACAGGAATAATTTCGGTCGGCAGACCATCCCACATGTCGGTCACCTCGTGAGCCAGGTCCAGATATTTTGTTTGCTTATCTGTTTCGGCTTTCACGAGGTTCTCGTCATACGGAATGGTAATGTCGACCAAAAATATCCTTGACTGTGCCCGGTCCATTAGCACAATATCAGGCTTATTCGCAAGAATAGTCCTGTCTGTGATGATGGCCCGGTCCCAATAGAGCCTGGCGCGATCTTTTTCGAGCACGGCTTCCGGCAAGTACTTGTAATGCGGCAATTTCCGATCCACAAGACCGTATTTCAGAGCGAGCTCCTGGTGTAGAATTCTGGCTACTAGGTTGTGCCTGTGCTAGTACTCAGGGTTAGAAAGCGCCGAACAACCGGAGATAACATGCCTAAGTGACTCACCGGGATGGCGACAAGCTCGACAGATGTCGACGGTGCCATCCTTTAGGATGTAATTCCGACAGTTGTTGGTCTTAATAACCTGATCCTGTATTGCACAGACAAAACCCTCGGTTTCCCCGAAGAGATCACCAAAGCGTAGCCAGTGGAGGGAGGCTACTTTGTCTACGAAAGGCTCATGTAGAGCCTTGTAGAACCTGCCGTGGAGCTCCTTCTCCTTCCATACGGTCTCCCGGTCGGAAATACTCTGCACTGCCGGGTCTTGCCATTGCTCGTTAGCTAAGGATAGAGGGGTAAGTCCTTTATCACAAGAAATGACGTCCTTATAGAACGGATCATCCGATCTCGCCAGGAAGTAATCACGGAGGCTGCACACTTCGCAATTATGCATGGTGAGCGCGCTCAAAAAGCCACGACCACCATGCTTCCGCGGCAAGTACAGCCTCATTACCGACGATCTCGGATGATGCATCCTATGGGACGTCATGGTAGTGCGGACTTTTCTATCCAGGGCGTTAAGTTCAGTCTGAGTCCACCTGAGTATGCCAAAGGTATACATGAGGACAGGCATGACCCAGCCGTTATATGCGTGTGCCTTATTCACACCGGACAAAAGGCTGTTAAGCACTTTGGTCAAGCGTGCATAAAACACGTCGCAAACTGACAGTTTCATACCAGTCTCATCGACACCAATGTTTTGTGACATACCCAGGTATCGGTACGTTTCAGCCTCGGAAAGGGTCCTTAAGTTGACGGGCATAGATGAGTATATGCCCTCAGAGTTAGCAACCCTTCCCCTTTCAACATGGAGGACCGCACACTTATCCGTCCCAAGCTCCATTCTAATGGAATTGCTAAATTCACAAGTGATGTTTAGCAATTCAATAAGATGGGAGCGACTGGAGGCGAATAACTTGAGGTCATCCATATAGAAAAAGGTGGGTCACTTTTGTCCCTCCTTTCCGTAGATGAAATCCCCTGCCGGAGCCCTCCAGTAAGGTACTGAGAGAGTTCAGAGAGAGGCAGAACCAGATTGGACTCAAACAATCGCCCTGGAAGATACCCCTTGTTATCCTTATGTGGTTCTCCGCAGCCATCATCCGCTCGCCCAGATGACAAAGGATCGTACTCCACTGCCCCATACACAGCTCGAGGAAGTCTCTAAATGCACAGTCTATCTTGTACAACTCGAGGACTCTCTTTAGCCATGTATGGGGCACCGAGTCGAATGCCTTTCTGTAGTCTATCCAGGCGGCGGAGAAGTTCCGACGGTTGCGTTGCACCACTTTGCCAATTTATTATTATTATTATTATTATTATGGGGCATCTATATAATTCTCCCATCTGGTTGGGTTCTATAAATATATAATTATAAATGAAAACGAAAAGATAAATATACATAAATATCAATAACATAAAATAAATATAAAAGTACATAAATAAATAAAAGCCCAACCAGATGGAGGGAGACCAAACGGCCGAGGGTTAAAGGGAAAGGGAAAGAAACCGGCGGACGATGCGGGCGGTATCGAGGAGCACCGCCTTCTGCATTTGAACCTGGAGCGATCCGCCACGTAGTCCCAGCCGCCTCAGATGACCCGAGAGGCTGACTGGGATTAGCCCGTTTGCAGAGACGACTACAGGAATAATTTCGGTCAGCAGACCACCATACATGTCGGTCACCTCGTGAGCCAGGTCCAGATATTTTGTTTGCTTGTCTGTTTCGGCTTTCACGAGGTTCTCGTCATACGGAATGGTAATATCGACCAAAAATATCCTTGACTGTGCCCGGTCCATCAGCACAATATCAGGCTTATTCGCAAGAATAGTCCTGTCTGTGATGATGGCCCGGTCCCAGTAGAGCCTGACGCGGTCATTTTCGAGCACGGCTTCCGGCAAGTACTTGTAATACGGCAATTTCCGGTCCACGAGACCGTATTTCAGAGCGAGATCCTGGTGTAGAATTCTGGCTACTAGGTTGTGCCTGTGCAAGTACTCAGAGTTAGAAAGCGCCGAACAACCGGAGATGACATGCCTAAGTGACTCACCGGGATGGCGACAAGCTTGACAGATGTCGACGGTGCCATCCTTTAGGATGTATCTCCGATAGTTGTTGGTCTTAATAACCTGATCCTGTATTGCACAGACAAAACCCTCGGTTTCCCCCGAAGAGGTCACCGAAATGTAGCCAGTTGAGGGAGGCAACTGTATCTACGAAGGGCTCATGTAAAGCCTTGTAGTACCTCCCGTGGAGCTCCTTCTCCTTCCATACGGTCTCCCGGTTGGAAATGCTAAGCACTGCTGGGTCCTGCCATTGCTCGTTGGCCAAGGATAGAGGGGTAAGCCCTTTATCACTAGAAATGACGTCATTATAGAATGGATCATCCGATCTCGCCAGGAAGTAATGACGGAGGCTGCACACTTCACGATTATGCTTAGTGAGCGCGCTCAGAAAGCCACGCCCACCATGCTTTCGCGGCAAGTACAGCCTCATTACCGACGATCTCGGATGATGCATCCTATGGGACGTCATGGTAGTGCGGACTTTTCTATCCAGGGCGTTAAGTTCAGTCTGAGTCCACCTGAGTATGCCAAAGGTATACATGAGGACAGGCATGACCCAGCCGTTATTTGCGTGTGCCTTATTTACACCGGACAAAAGGCTGTTAAGCACTTTGGTCAAGCGTGCATAAAACACGTCGCAAACTGACTGTTTCATACCAGTCTCATCGATACCGATATTTTGTGACATACCTAGGTATCGGTATGTTTCAGCCTCGGAAAGGGTCCTTAAGTTGACGGTCATAGATAAGTCTACGCCCTTTAGAGTTAACAACCCTTCCCCTTTCAACGTGGAGGACCGCACACTTATCCGTCCCAAGCTCCATTCCAATGGAATTGCTAAACTCACAAGTGATTTTTAGCAATTCCATAAGATAGGAGCGACTGGAGGCGAATAACTTAAGGTCATCCATATAGAAAAGGTGGGTCACTTTTGTTCCTCCGTTCCGTAGCTGAAATCCTCTCCCGGATCCCTCCAGTAAGGTACTGAGAGGGTTCAGGGAGAGGCAGAACCAGATTGGACTCAGACAATCGCCCTGGAAGATACCCCTTCTTATCCTTATGTGGTTCTCCGCAGCCATCATCCGCTCACCCAGATGACAAAGGATCGTACTCCACTGCCCCATACACTGCTCGAGGAAGTCTCTCACTGTACAGTCTATCTTGTACAGCTCGAGGACTCTCTTTAGCCATGTATGGGGCACCGAGTCGAATGTCTTTCTGTAGTCTATCCAGGCGGCGGAGAAATTCCGACGGTTGCGTTTCACCACTTTGTCAATGGCCGCGTCAATGAGGAGTGGTTCCTTAGTTCCACGACCACCGCCCCGACATCCATTTTGAGCGCGTGACATCACCTGATTTAGCTCCAGGTGACGAGTGATACTCGCGCTCAAAATGGATGTCAGTGTCTTATATATGGTGGGTAGACACGTAATGGGGCGGTATTTGTTCGGGTCTGTGGTAACCTGGTCTTTAGGAACCAAATGAGTGATCCCAGTAGTGAAGAGGCTAGGGAGCGACTTCTGGTTGAGAGCCTCTTGAAACTGACGGGCGAACACAGCGTGACACACCATGAACCCCTTCAGCCAGTAGTGATGCAGTCCGTCGAGTCCCGGACTTTTCCAGTTCGGGGCTCTACGGACCGCCTCAGCTACGTCATCCGGCGTTATGATGACGGGGTCCATGGGCGTAATACTCGCACACTGACTCGCCACAACTTCCGTCCAAGGGCCCTCGCTGTGGTTTACGGGCTCTGACCACAGGCCACGCCAAAATGCGACAGTGTTAGCCTGATCCGGTCCTGGGCCCGCTCTACATACCTCTGGTCGCTCCAATGATTTGTAGAGCCTCTTCTGATCACTCTGGAAGAGACGATTCTGGTTGAACCGCCTTGACCTCTCGGTAAACCGGCAAATCCGCTTCCCCCAAGCAGCAATCTTTTGCTTCAGATCGAACAGGTTTGCTGGGACAAACTGATATTTGTCCCAGCAAACGCCATTCTAACTGTGCGCACAACCCTCGGTCTATTATTACCCGACCTGAAGCTTATCAGTCTGCCGATAAGGGCCCTTGCCTTTGCGATACGGTCCTCAATTCTTTTTCTCCAGGCTGGGATGGCGCTACTTTGTTTAGTAGCGCGTCCAGCCATGGGAAGTTTGGCGCCAATAATACGGCAAGCTGCCACTGCGGCGCCAAAAAGAACTGAGTCTGTCTTGCAAAGGTCCCGGTTGGCTTCTTAATAGGTTACCAGCATTGGATTAAGGGCCCTCACGACAGCCCGATTTCGCTTGCTTAGGGTTATGCGGGGAAGTCGCGGTCGATTTTCGAGAGGCATGCTGCGCGTTTCCAAAATCGCCTCTTCCAATATACTCCTCATTTGCTCTAGTTCGTGGGAGACCATTTCATCATTGTCTGAATCACCCACAACTGGAAGATTCATGGCGGCTTCTACGCGTGGCAGCTGGTCTGTCGCCTGAGGAGCCTCATCCCCAGCCGTAGCCAATTCATTCGATGAGGGAATGGCCTCACGTCGTAGTCGTTCGAGCTCGGCATCATCGAATATTTTCGAGCGCATGATGTACCGAACTCGGTCTGCCAGGTTTTGTTCCGTGACGGGAATAGACGGCTCCAGCTCAGCAAAAAAGCAATGCATCAGAGCCCGATACGCTATCCCCGCAGTTTCTTCCCCTTTCGCCCTATAGTACGCCCGCAATGCGTTTGCGTTCATATCCCTTGTCCAACGCATGCGGCGCACTCCACCAGCGGCGGATGCCGCTTGCCGAGTCCGAGAGGACCCTGCCGACATCAAGCCGTCTGGTGGGGATGATGGATGCGGGGGGCTGTTAGGTGATCTTGCAGCTCCTCGCGCTCGGCTGGCGGCCCGCATGCTGCCGCGTCCAGCGCCAGCTCCAGACGCGCCCCGGCGACCCCCAGTCAGCGGCCCTATACGTTTTCCAATCTTATCCATCATCCATATTTGAGCGCCAATTAGCGGGAGACGCCCAGGCCCGGCACCGTTTCATTGTATCATTGTACGGCCGTAAGCACAAACGGGCCTTTGCACTCTGAGTACTGCCGACGCACGGCGCTCACACCTCTTGGCAAGGCGCTGACTGACTGCACCGACGTAGCAGTTGTGTCACTTAACTGTGTCGTCAGCGGGCGATTGGGTCGTCACTTCCCTATGCCCTTTATAATTATTATTGTGGTGGTGTCAATATAATTTTCTCATCTGGTTGGGTTCTATAAATATATAATTATAAATGGAAATGAAAAGATAAATATACATAAACATCAATAATATAATATAAATACAAAAATACATACACAAATAAAAGCCCAACCAGATGGAGGCCCTCGGCAGGGGAGACCAAACGGCCGAGGGTCAGGGGGAAAGGGAAAGAAAGCGGCGGACGATGCGGGCGGTATCGAGGAGCACCGCCTTCTGCATTTGAGCCTGGAGCGGTCCGCCACGTAGTCCCAGCCGCCTCAGATGACCCGAGAGGCTGACTGGGATTAGCCCGTTTGCAGAGACGACTACAGGAATAATTTCGGTCGGCAGACCACCCCACATGTCGGTCACCTCGTGAGCCAGGTCTAGATATTTTGTTTGCTTATCTGTTTCGGCTTTCACGAGGTTCTCGTCACACGGAATGGTAATGTCGACCAAAAATATCCTTGACTGTGCCCGGTCCACCAGCACAATATCAGGCTTATTCGCAAGAACAGTCCTGTCTGTGATGATGGCCCGGTCCCAATAGAGCCTGGCGCGATCATTTTCGAGCACGGCTTCCGGCAAGTACTTGTAATACGGCAATTTCCGATCCACGAAACCGTATTTCAGAGCGAGCTCCTGGTGTAGAATTCTGGCTACTAGGTTGTGCCTGTGCAAGTACTCAGAGTTAGAAAGCGCCGAACAACCGGATATGACATGCCTAAGTGACTCACCGGGATGGCGACAAGCTCGACAGATGTCGATGGTGCCATCCTTTAGGATGTATCTCCGATAGTTGTTGGTCTTAATAACCTGATCCTGTATTGCACAGACAAAACCCTCGGTTTCCCCGAAGAGGTCACCAAAGCGTAGCCATTGGAGGGAGGTTACTGTGTCTACGAAAGGCCCATGTAGAGACTTGTAGAACCTCCCGTGGAGCTCCTTCTCCTTCCATACGGTCTCCCGGTCGGAAACTGTCTGCACTGCCGGGTCTTGCCATTGCTCGTTGGCTAAGGATAGAGGGGTAAGTCTTTTATCACAAGAAATGACGTCCTTATAGAATGGATCTTCCGATCTCGCCAGGAAGTAATTACGGAGGCTGCACACTTCGCGATTATGCATGGTGAGCGCGCTCAAGAAGCCACGCCCACCATGCTTTCGCGGCAAGTACAGCCTCATTACCGACGATCTCGGATGATGCATCCTGTGGGACGTCATGGTAGTGCGGACTTTTCTATCTAGGGCGTTAAGTTCAGTCTGAGTCCATCTGAGTATGCCAAAGGTGTACATGAGGACGGGCATGACCCAGCCGTTATATGCTTGTGTCTTATTCACACCGGACAAAAGGCTGTTAAGCACTTTGGTCAAGCGTGCATAAAACACGTCGCAAACTGACTGTTTCATATCAGCCTCATCGATACCGATGTTCTGTGACATACCCAAGTATCGGTATGTTTCAGCCTCGGAAAGGGTCCTTAAGTTGACGGGCATAGATAAGTCTATGCTCTCAGAGTTAGCAACCCTACCCTCTCAACATGGAGTACCGCCCACTTATCCGTCCCAAGCTCCATTCCAATGGAATTGCTAAATTCACAAGTGATGTATAGCAATTCCATAAGATGGGAGCGACTGGAGGCGAATAACTTGAGGTCATACATATAGAAAAGGTGGGTCACTTTTGTCCCTCCTTTCCGTAGCTGAAATCCCCTCCCGGAGCCCTCCAGTAAGGTACTGAGAGGGTTCAGAGAGAGGCAGAACCATATTGGACTCAGACAATCGCCCTGGAAGATACCCCTTCTTATCCTTATGTGGTTCTCCGCGGCCGTCATCCGCTCGCCCAGATGACAAAGGATCGTACTCCACTGCCCCATACACTGCTCGAGGAAGTCTCTACCTGTTCAGTCTATCTTGTACAGTTCGAGGACTCTCTTTAGCCATGTATGGGGCACCGAGTCGAATGCCTTTCTGTAGTTTATCCAGGCGGCGGAGAAGTGCCGACGGTTGCGTTTCACCACTTTGCCAATGGCCGCGTCAATGAGGAGTGGTTCCTTACTTCCACGTTCACCACCCCGACATCCATTTTGAGCGCGTGTTATCACCTGATTTAGCTCCAGGTGACGAGTGATTCTCGCGCTCAAAATGGATGTCAGTGTCTTGTATATGGTCGGTAGACACGTGATGGGGCGGTATTTGCTCGGGTCTGTGGTACCCTGGCCTTTAGGAACCAAATGGGTGATCCCAGTAGTGAAGAGGCTCGGGAGCGACTTCTGGTTGAGAACCTCTTGAAACTGTCGGGCGAGCACAGTGTGACACACCACGAACCCCTTCAGCCAGTAGTGATGCAGCCCGTCGAGTCCCGGACTTTTCCAGTTCGGGGCCCTACGGACCGCCTCAGCTACGTCATCCGGCGTTATGGTGACGGGATCCATGGGCGTAATACCCGCACACTGACTCGCCACAACTTCCGTCCAAGGGCCCTCGTTGTGGTTTACGGGCTCTGACCACAGGCCGCGCCAGAATGCAACCGTGTCGGCCTGATTCGGTACTGGGCCCGTTCCACTTACCATTGGTCGCTTCAATGATTTATAGAGCCTCTTCTGATCACTCTGGAAGAGACGATTCTGGTTGAACCGAACGCCATCCTGACGGTGCGCACAATCCTTGGCCTGGTATTGCCTGACCTGAAGCATATCAGTCTGCCGATGAGGGCCCTAGCCTTTGCGATACGTTCTTCAATTCTTGTTCTCCAGGCTGGGATAGCACTACTTTGTCCAGTAGTGCGTCCAGCCGTGGAAAGTTTGGCGCCTATAATACGGCAGACTGCCAGTGCGGCGCCAAAGAGAATTGAGTCCGTCTCGCAAAGGTCCCGGCTGGCTTCCAAATAGGTCACCAGCATTGGGTTCAGAGCCCTCACGACAGCCCGATTCCGCTTGCTTAGGGCTATGCGGGGAAGTCGCGGTCGATTTTCGAGAGGCGTACTGCGCGTTTCCATAATCGCCTCTTCCAATGTACTCCTCATTTGCTCGATTTCTAGTTCCTGGGTGAATGTTCCATCATCATTTGAATTAGCAACCACTGGGGTATTCACGGCGGCATCCACATGTGCGGGTTGTTCTGCAAATTGTGGCACCGCACCCTCAGTCGTAGCGTTTTCATTTAATGGCTGTTCCCAGCCGGTTCGGTGCCATCAAATATATTTGAGCGTAAGATATACCGAACTCGGTCTGCCAGGTTTTGCTCGGTGACAGTAATAGATGGCTCCAGCTCAGTAAAAAGACGATGCATCCTAGCCCGATACGCGAAACCTCCAATTTCTCCCCCTTTCGCCCTAAAATACGCCCGCAATGCGTTTGTATTCATATTGATGGTCCATCGCATGCGGCGCACTCCACCAGTGGCGGGTGCCGATTGCTGGGTCTGCGAAGACCCTGCCGACACCAAGCAAGCTGGTGGGGATGATGGATGCGAGGGGCTGCTGGGTGGTCGTGCAGCACCTCGCGCTCGGCTGGCGGTTCGCATGCTGTCGCGTCCAGCGCCAGCTCCAGACGCGCCCTGGCGACCTCCAGGCAGCGGCCCTTTGCGCAATCTTCTTTGTTCCATCATCCATACAGGGCGTCATTTAACGGGAGACGCCCAGACCCGGCGCCGATTCATGGTGAGGCCATATGCACAAGCGTCAAACAAATCGTCAAAAAAAAAAAACGTCAGACAGAATCAAATGCCTTTTTGTAATCAATGTACATTATATGAATATTTCTATTTTTACTGTGTGCTTGTTTCATGGCTATTGCATCTATTGTCAACTGTTCTTTACATCCTTGGCTATTTTTCTTACAGCCCTTTTGTTGTTCTGCAAGAATATTTTGTTGGTCAAGGTGTCTGTAGATTGTTTCGCTAATGCATCCTGTAATAATCTTGTATATCGTTTGTAGGCATGTTATAGGTCTGTAATTTGCGGGGTCTTTTGGATCTGAGCCTTTCGGAAGCATGTAAGTTAGACCGCTTGTTATGAATGTTGTCATATTATGTGGTGAATGTATGAATTGACAAATATGATTGTAGATAAATGGATGTGTACATGTGAGCTTTTTGTACCAGTAATTATGTATATTATCGGTACCCGGTGCTTTCCAATTTTGTGTGCGTTTGATTATTTGAGTGAATGTTTCTATTGTGATATTTTCAAAATCCATTTGTTTAATATTTGGTGCTTTTGGTATTTTGTCTAACCACTCAGCCTTACTATTATGTGCTACTGGGTTTTCCCATAGGCCTGCCCAAAATTGTTGTAAGTGTTGTGGTGATGGGAATTGAGTAGAACGTGTAGTATTAATATGGTGTTCGTGCCCTAAAGTTCTGTAGAACTGTTTTTCATTATTTAAAAAAGTTTGCATTTTGTTGTTTCCGTTTAGTACATGTTAAATATCTTCTCAATCTATTTGATAGCGCGTTTAATTTTTGCTTGAGTGTGTCGAGAAAATGTTGTGGCTCCGTATTAGATTCTTCATGTTCAGAGTGTGTTTTATATTTCCTCTTTATTTCTTCTACAGTCTTTAATATTCTCTGATTTCTATTTCCTATTATGTATTGTGTTAATCTTCCAATTTCTAATCTATATTTTTCTATTCTGCTTTCAATTCATCTTTGCCAGGTAGGTTTTCTATTTCGATTGTTTGCAGTTATATTTCCCTCTGTGTTAAATCTGGTACCATTGCATAAGGCGGCTGTATAAGCTGCTGAATATATTAAGGTATGTAATGAAATAAAATCTAAATCGTGACTAAGATGCCTCGGTAAAATTTCATTATTCAAGTAGTGAACAATCTGTGCGTTTCGTGAATATTTCTGTTTTGGGATGTATGGTCTTGCTTCAGCATGAGTTGTGCTAAATATTGCAATAGCATTATTAAATTCTATTTCAATTTTGTTACTTTCTATGAGATATTGTAATTGGGAGTTTTCCTTTTGAGCATTACTTAATGTACATGTTTTTATAACAGTGTTTGTGCTATCTATCATGTTTTCAAGTTGAGTATGCTGTGTGGGTGTAAAGATGTCTGTTGTGCTTTCATACGGGGTTTGTTGCGTTTGTTCTACTTCGGTATAATTTTGATCTGTAACTAGTTGTCGATTATTCAGCTCCAATTTCAATTCTACTTCTCTTCTCAATTCGTTAATTTTATTTGAGTATTTCTTATTTTTAAATATTAATCTTCTTTGGTCGGCAATCCTCTGTTCAGTAAGGTAAGATAAATATGGATGTCTTTCTATGAACAGCTCATACAATTTTTTCCGGTAGCCAGTTTGATCTTTCTCTAACTCAGTTACTTCAAGATAAAACCTAATGATGTCTTCATTTATTTCATCCGACCATTTCATCCTGGTATTGTTCGTAGTATTTGTTTGTGATGGTGCTGTAATTTGAGTGCTGTGTGTGTGTTTATGGTTCTCATTCTGTATAATATATTCTCTTACTTCATTACCTATTTCGTCTAATAGTTTTTGTGGCAGTAGTTTTCTTCTTAATATAGCTCGTTTTTGTCTCCTAGTCGTTGCCGAGTGGCTTTCATTTCGGGATATCTACTTTCAAATTCCTGGTGTAAATTATTCATGTGGGTTGTTTCGCATTTAGTTATTAATAGGTATGTACGCCAAATAAAGCGGTTCATATCTTCTGTCCATTTTTTTCGCGCACGTAGTTGCCCAACAGTGGGTGCAGGTTTAGTAGCTGATGCCTCCTGCACAACAGCTGTTGACCTTGTAATTCTTGATATATATAAAGATGATGGTGATGAATCAGGTGATCGAAATAGGCTATGAGTTGAGGAAGGTGATGTAATATTACCAAAGAGTGAATATTCGGAAGATACCGTAGATGAAGGTGAATGTGACCGTTCGGCTGTAGCAATTTTTTCGAGGGGAACCCGCCTGTTCAGTCCCCCGTCGCCAACGGTTCGCATGCTGTGGCATCCAGCGTTGGCTCCAGATGCGCCCCGACGAACTCCGGGAAGCGGCCGTAAACTATATCTCTTAGATTGATTGTCCATACAATTCTCAATTTTGGGTTCAGGATCGTTAGTTTGGGTAGGTTATTTATTGGCAAGATATTAAGGCCGAGTTACCAGTACTTAATCCCGTAAGCCCCCCCCCCCCACCACGTCAAGGTGATCCCACAGGGGGGTTATTATTATTATTATTATGGGGTATCTATATAGTTTTCTCATCTGGTTGGGTTCTATAAATATATAATTATAAATGAAAATAAAAAAATAAATATACATAAATATCAATAACATAAAATAAATATAAAAGTACATAAATAAATAAAAGCCCAACCAGATGGAGGCCCTCGGCAGGGGAGACCAAACGGCCGAGGGTTAGGGGGAAAGGGAAAGAAAACGGCGGACGATGCGGGCGGTATCGAGGAGCACCGCCTTCTGCATTTGAACCTGGAGCGGTCCGCCACGTAGTCCCAGCTGCCTCAGATGACCCGAGAGGCTGACTGGGATTAGCCCGTTTGCAGAGACGACTACAGGAATAATTTCGGTCGGCAGACCACCCCACATGTCGGTCACCTCGTGAGCCAGGTCCAGATATTTTGTTTGCTTGTCTGTTTCGGCTTTCACGAGGTTCTCGTCATACGGAATGGTAATGTCGACCAAAAATATCCTTGACTGTGCCCGGTCCATCAGCACAATATCAGGCTTATTCGCAAGAATAGTCCTGTCTGTGATGATGGCCCGGTCCCAATAGAGCCTGGCGCGATCATTTTCGAGCACGGCTTCCGGCAAGTACTTGTAGTACGGCAATTTCCGGTCCACGAGACCGTATTTCAGAGCGAGCTCCTGGTGTAGAATTCTGGCTACTAGGTTGTGCCTTTGCAAGTACTCAGAGTTAGAAAGCGCCGAACAACCGGAGATAACATGCCTAAGTGACTCACCGGGATGGCGACAAGCTCGACAGATGTCGACGGTGCCATCCTTTAGGATGTATCTCCGATAGTTGTTGGTCTTAATAACCTGATCCTGTATTGCACAGACAAAACCCTCGGTTTCCCCCGAAGAGATCACCAAAGCGTAGCCAGTGGAGGGAGGCTACTGTGTCTACGAAAGGCTCATGTAGAGCCTTGTAGAACCTCCCGTGGAGCTCCTTCTCCTTCCATACGGTCTCTCGGTCGGAAATGCTCTGCACTGCCGGGTCTTGCCATTGCTCGTTGGCTAAGGATAGAGGGGTAAGTCCTTTATCACGAGAAATGACGTCCATATAGAATGGATCATCCGATCTCGCCAGGAAGTAATCACGGAGGCTGCACACTTCGCGATTATGCATGGTGAGCGCGCTCAAGAAGCCACGACCACCATGCTTCCGCCACAATTACAACCTCATTACCGACGATCTCGGATGATGCATCCTATGGGACGTCATGGTAGTGCGGACTTTTCTATCCAGGGCGTTAAGTTCAGTCTGAGTCCACCTGAGTATGCCAAAGGTATACATGAGGACAGGCATGACCCAGCCGTTATATGCGTGTGCCTTATTCACACCGGACAAAAGGCTGTTAAGCACTTTGGTCAAGCGTGCATAAAACACGTCGCAAACTGACTGTTTCATACCAGTCTCATCGATACCGATGTTTTGTGACATACCCAGGTATCGGTATGTTTCAGCCTCGGAAAGGGTCCTTAAGTTGACGGGCATAGATAAGTCTACGCCCTCAGAGTTAGCAACCCTTCCCCTTTCAACATGGAGGATCGCACACTTATCCGTCCCAAGCTCCATTCCAATGGAATTGCTAAATTCACAAGTGATGTTTAGCAATTCCATAAGATGGGAGCGACTGGAGGCGAATAACTTGAGGTCATCCATATAGAAAAGGTGGGTCACTTTTGTCCCTCCTCTCCGTAGCTAAAATCCCCTCCCGAAGCCCTCCAGTAAGGTACTGAGAGGGTTCAGAGAGAGGCAGAACCAGATTGGACTCAGACAATCGCCCTGGAAGATACCCCTTCTTATCCTTATGTGGTTCTCCGCAGCCATCATCCGCTCGCCCAGATGACAAAGGATCGTACTCCACTGCCCCATACACTGCTCAAGGAAGTCTCTAACTGTACAGTCTATCTTGTACAGCTCGAGGACTCTCTTTAGCCATGTATGGGGCACCGAGTCGAATGCCTTTCTGTAGTCTATCCAGGCGGCGGAGAAGTTCCGACGGTTGCGTTTCACCACTTTGCCAATGACCGCGTCAATGAGGAGTGGTTCCTTGGTTCCACGACCACCGCCCCGACATCCATTTTGAGCGCGCGACATCACCTGATTTGAGTCCAGGTGACAAGTGATTCTCGCGCTCAAAATGGATGTTAGTGTCTTGTATATGGTCGGTAGACACGTGATGGGTCGTTATTTGCCCGGGTCTGTGGTACCCTGGTCTTTAGGAACCAAATGAGTGATCCCAGTAGTGAAGAGGCTTGGGAGCGACTTCTGGTTGAGAGCCTCTTGAAACTGTCGGGCAAGCACAGAGTGACACACCATGAACCCCTTCAGCCAGTAGTGATGCAGCCCGTCAAGCCCCGGACTTTTCCAGTTCGGGGCCCTACGGACCGCCTCAGCTACGTCATCCGGCGTTATGATGACGGGGTCCATGGGCGTAATACCCGCACACTGACTCGCCACAACTTCCGTCCAAGGGCCCTCGATGTGGTTTACGGGCTCTGACCACAGGCCGCGCCAGAATGCTACAGTGTCGGCCTGATTCGGTGCTGGACCCGTTCCACTTACCATTGGTCGCTCCAATGATTCATAGAGCCTCTTCTGATCACTCTGGAAGAGACGATTCTGGTTGAACCGTGTCGACCTCTCGGTATATCGCCGAATCCGTTTTCCCCAAGCAGCGATTCTCTGCTTCAGATCATCTATGCGCTCCGTCAGTTTTTGCGTTATATCCGGCTGGGACAAACTGACATTTTTCCCAGCAAACGCCATCCTGACGGTGCGCACAATTCTTGGCCTGTTGTTGCCTGATCTGAAGCATATCAGTCTGCCGATGAGAGCTCTAGCCTTTGCGATACGTTCCTCAATTCTTCTTCTCCATGCTGGGATAGCCCTACTATGGCCAGTAGCGCGTCCAGCCGTGGAAACCTTGGCGCCTATGATACGGCAGACTGCCAGCGCGGCGCCAAAAAAGAATTGAGTCCGTCTCGCAAAGGTCCCGGCTGGCTTCCAAATTGGTCACCATCATTGGGTTCAGAGCCCTCACGACAGCCCGATTCCGCTTGCTTAGGGCTATGCGGGGAAGTCGCGGTCGATTTTCGAGAGGCATACTGCGCGTTTCCACAATCGCCTCTTCCAATGTACTCCTCATATGCTCTAATTCCAGTTCCTGGGCGACTGTTCCATCATCGTTTGAATCAACCACAACTGGGGTATTCACGGCGGCATCCACGTTTGCGGGTTGCTCTACCATTTGTGGCGCCGCATCCTCAGCCGTAGCATTCTCATCCGACGAGGAAACAGCCTCACGTCGTAGCCGTTCGAGTTCGGCGACATCAAATATATTTGAGCGCAAGATATACCGAACTCGGTCTGCCAGGTTTTGCTCTGTGACGGTTAAAGATGGCTCCAGCTCAGCAAAAAGACGATGCATCCTAGCCCGATACGCCAAACATCCAGTTTCTCCCCCTTTCACCCCAAAATACGCCCGCAATGCGTTGCTGTTCATCTGGGTTGTCCAACGCATGCGGCGTACGCCACCAGAGGCGGGTGCCGATTGCTGGGCCTTATTATTATTATTATATTATTATGTGTGGGGTATCTATATAGTTTTCTCATCTGGTTGGGATGTATAAATATATAATTATAAACGAAAATGAAAAGATAAACATACAAAAATATCAATAAAATAAAATAAATATGAAAATACATAAATAAATAAAAGCCCAACCAGATGGAAGCCCTCGGCAGGGGAGACCAAACGGCCGAGGGTTAGGGGGAAAGGGAAAGAAACCGGCGGACGATGCGGGCGGTATCGAGGAGCACCGCTTTCTGCATTTGAGCCTGGAGCGGTCCGCCACGTAGTCCCAGCCCCCTCAGATGACCCGAGAGGCTGACTGGGATTAGCCCGTTTGCAGAGACGACTACAGGAATAATTTCGGTCGGCAGACCACCCCACATGTCGGTCACCTCGTGAGCCAGGTCTAGATATTTTGTTTGCTTATCTGTTTCGGCTTTCACGAGGTTCTCGTCACACGGAATGGTAATGTCGACCAAAAATATCCTTGACTGTGCCCGGTCCACCAGCACAATATCAGGCTTATTCGCAAGAACAGTCCTGTCTGTGATGATGGCCCGGTCCCAATAGAGCCTGGCGCGATCATTTTCGAGCACGGCTTCCGGCAAGTACTTGTAATACGGCAATTTCCGATCCACGAAACCGTATTTCAGAGCGAGCTCCTGGTGTAGAATTCTGGCTACTAGGTTGTGCCTGTGCAAGTACTCAGAGTTAGAAAGCGCCGAACAACCGGAGATGACATGCCTAAGTGACTCACCGGGATGGCGACAAGCTCGACAGATGTCGATGGTGCCATCCTTTAGGATGTATCTCCGATAGTTGTTGGTCTTAATAACCTGATCCTGTATTGCACAGACAAAACCCTCGGTTTCCCCCGAAGAGGTCACCAAAGCGTAGCCAGTGGAGAGAGGTTACTGTGTCTACGAAAGGCCCATGTAGAGACTTGTAGAACCTCCCGTGGAGCTCCTTCTCCTTCCATACGGTCTCCCGGTCGGAAATTGTCTGCACTGCCGGGTCTTGCCATTGCTCGTTGGCTAAGGATAGAGGGGTAAGTCCTTTATCACAAGAAATGACGTCCTTATAGAATGGATCATCCGATCTCGCCAGGAAGTAATTACGGAGGCTGCACACTTCGCGATTATGCATGGTGAGCGCGCTCAAGAAGCCACGCCCACCATGCTTTCGCGGCAAGTACAGCCTCATTACCGACGATCTCGGATGATGCATCCTGTGGGACGTCATGGTAGTGCGGACTTTTCTATCCAGGGCGTTAAGTTCAGTCTGAGTCCACCTGAGTATGCCAAAGGTATACATGAGGACAGGTATGACCCAGCCGTTATATGCTTGTGTCTTATTCACACCGGACAAAAGGCTGTTAAGCACTTTGGTCAAGCGTGCATAAAACACGTCGCAAACTGACTGTTTCATACCAGCCTCATCGATACCAATATTCTGTGACATACCCAGGTATCGGTATGTTTCAGCCTCGGAAAGGGTCCTTAAGTTGACGGGCATAGATAAGTCTATGCCATCAGAGTTAGCAACCCTACCCCTCTCAACATGGAGGACCGCACACTTATCCGTCCCCAGCTCCATTCCAATGGAATTGCTAAATTCACAAGTGATGTTTTGTTTGTGATAGCAGTTCCATAAGATGGGAGCGACTGGAGGCGAATAACTTGAGGTCATCCATATAGAAAAGGTGGGTCACTTTTGTCCCTCCTTTCCGTAGCTGAAATCCCCTCCCAGAGCCCTCCAGTAAGGTACTGAGAGGGTTCAGAGAAAGGCAGAACCAGTTTTGACTGAGACAATCGCCCTGGAAGATACCCCTTCTTATCCTTATGTGGTTCTCCGCAGCCATCATCCGCTCGCCCAGATGACAAAGGATCGTACTCCACTGCCCCATACACTGCTCGAGGAAGTCTCTAACTGTACAGTCTATCTTGTACAGTTCGAGGACTCTCTTTAGCCATGTATGGGGCACCGAGTCGAATGCCTTTCTGTAGTCTATCCAGGCGGCGGAGAAGTTCCGACGGTTGCGTTTCACCACTTTGCCAATGACCGCGTCAATGAGGAGTGGTTCCTTGGTTCCACGACCGCCGCCCCGACATCCATTTTGAGCGCGCGACATCACCTGATTTGAGTCCAGGTGACGAGTGATTCTCGCGCTCAAAATGGATGTTAGTGTCTTATATATGGTCGGTAGACATGTGATGGGGCGGTATTTGCTCGGGTCTGTGGTACTCTGGCCTTTAGGAACCAAATGGGTGATCCCAGTAGTGAAGAGGCTCGGGAGCGACTTCTGGTTGAGAACCTCTTGAAACTGTCGGGCGAGCACAGTGTGACACACCACGAACCCCTTCAGCCAGTAGTGATGCAGCCCGTCGAGTCCCGGACTTTTCCAGTTCGGGGCCCTACGGACCGCCTCAGCTACGTCATCCGGCGTTATGGTGACGGGGTCCATGGGCGTAATACCCGCACACTGACTCGCCACAACTTCCGTCCAAGGGCCCTCGTTGTGGTTTACGGGCTCTGACCACAGGCTGCGCCAGAATGCGACCGTGTCGGCCTGATTCGGTACTGGGCCCGTTCCACTTACCATTGGTCGCTCCAATGATTTATAGAGCCTCTTCTGATCACTCTGGAAGAGACGATTCTGGTTGAACCGTGTCGACCTCTCGGTATATCGCCGAATTCGCTTTCCCCAAGCAGCGATTCTCTGCTTCAGGTCATCTATGCGCTCCGTCAGTTTTTGCATTGTATCCGGCTGGGACAAACTAACATTTGTCCCAGCAAACGCCATCCTGACGGTGCGCACAATCCTTGGCCTGGTATTGCCTGACCTGAAGCATATCAGTCTGCCGATGAGGGCCCTAGCCTTTGCGATACGTTCTTCAATTCTTGTTCTCCAGGCTGGGATAGCACTACTTTGTCCAGTAGTGCGTCCAGCCGTGGAAAGTTTGGCGCCTATAATACGGCAGACTGCCAGTGCGGCGCCAAAGAGAATTGAGTCCGTCTCGCAAAGGTCCCGGCTGGCTTCCAAATAGGTCACCAGCATTGGGTTCAGAGCCCTCACGACAGCCCGATTCCGCTTGCTTAGGGCTATGCGGGGAAGTCGCGGTCGATTTTCGAGAGGCGTACTGCGCGTTTCCATAATCGCCTCTTCCAATGTACTCCTCATTTGCTCTATTTCTAGTTCCTGGGTGAATGTTCCATCATCATTTGAATCAGCAATCACTGGGGTATTCTCGGCGGCATCCACGTGTGCGGGTTGTTCTGCAACTTGTGGCACCGCACCCTCAGTCGTAGCGTTTTCATTTGATGAGGGAACAGCCTCACGTCGTAGCCGTTCGAGTTCGGCGCCATCAAATATATTTGAGCGTAAGATATACCGAACTCGGTCTGCCAGGTTTTGCTCGGTGACAGTAATAGATGGCTCCAGCTCAGTAAAATTATTATTATTATTATTATTATTTTTGGGGTATCTGTATAGTTTTCTCATCTGGTTGGTTTCTATAAATATATAATTATAAATTAAAATGAAAAGATAAATATACACAAATATCAATAAAATAAAATAAATACAAAAAATACACAAATAAATAAAGATCCAACCAGATGGAAGCTCTCGGCAGGGGAGACCAAACGGCCGAGGGTTAGGGGGAAAGGGAAAGAAACCGACGGACGATGCGGGCGGTATCGAGGACCACTGCCTTCTGCATTTGAGCCCGGAGCGGTCCGTCACGGAGTCCCAGTCGCCTCAGATGACCCGAGAGGCTGACTGGGATTAGCCCGTTTGCAGAGACGACTACAGGAATAATTTCGGTCGGCAGACCACTCCACATGTCGGTCACCTCGTGAGCCAGGTCCAGATATTTTGTTTGCTTATCTGTTTCGGCTTTCACGAGGTTCTCGTCATACGGAATGGTAATGTCGACCAAAAATATCCTTGACTGTGCCCGGTCCATCAGCACAATATCAGGCTTATTTGCAAGAATAGTCCTGTCTGTGATGATGGCCCGGTCCCAGTAGAGCCTGGCGCGGTCATTTTCGAGCACGGCTTCCGGCAAGTACCTGTAATACGGCAATTTCCGGTCCACGAGACCGTATTTCAGAGCGAGCGCCTGGTGTAGAATTCTGGCTACTAGGTTGTGCCTGTGCAAGTACTCAGAGTTAGAAAGCGCCGAACAACCGGAGATGACATGTCTAAGTGACTCCCCGGGATGGCGACAAGCTCGACAGACGTCGACGGTGCCATCCTTTAGGATGTATCTCCGATAGTTGTTGGTCTTAATAACCTGATCCTGTATTGCACAGACAAAACCCTCGGTTTCCCCGAAGAGGTCACGGAAACGTAGCCAGTTGAGGGAGGCAACTGTATCTACGAAGGGCTCATGTAAAGCCTTGTAGTACCTCCCGTGGAGCTCCTTCTCCTTCCATACGGTCTCCCGGTCGGAAATGCTAAGCACTGCTGGGTCCTGCCATTGCTCGTTGGCCAAGGATAGAGGGGTAAGCCCTTTATCACTAGAAATGACGTCATTATAGAATGGATAATCCGATCTCGCCAGGAAGTAATGACGGAGGCTGCACACTTCACGATTATGCATAGTGAGCGCGCTTAGAAAGCCACGCCCACCATGCTTTCGCGGCAAGTACAGCCTCATTACCGACGATCTCGGATGATGCATCCTATGGGACGTCATGGTAGTGCGGACTTTTCTATCCAGGGCGTTAAGTTCAGTCTGAGTCCACCTGAGTATGCCAAAGTTATACATAAGATTATTATTATTATTATTATTATATGTGGGGTATCTATATAGTTTTCTCATCTGGTTGGGATGTATAAATATATAATTATAAACGAAAATGAAAAGTCAAATATACAAAAATATCAATAAAATAAAATAAATACGAAAATACATAAATAAATAAAAGCCCAACCAGATGGAAGCCCTCGGCAGGGGAGACCAAACGGCCGAGGATTAGGGAGAAAGGGAAAGGAACCGGCGGACGATGCGGGCAGTATCAAGGAGCACCACCTTCTGCATTTGAGCCCGGATCGGTCTGTCACGGAGTCCCAGTCGCCTCAGATGACCAGAGAGGCTAACTGGGATTAGCCCATTCGCAGAGACGACTACAGGAATAATTTTGGCCGGCAGACCACCCCACATGTCGGTCACCTCGTGAGCCAGGTCCTGATATTTTGATTGCTTATCTGTTTCGGCTCTCACAAGGTTCTCGTCATACGGGATGGTAATATCGACCAAAAATATCCTTGACTGTGCCCGGTCCATCAGCACAATATCAGGCTTATTCGCAAGAATAGTCCTGTCTGTGATGATGGCCCGGTCCCAATAGAGCCTGGCGCGATCATTTTCGAGCACGGCTTCCGGCAAGTACTTGTAATACGGCGACTTCCGATCCACGAAACCGTATTTCAGTGCGAGCTCCTGGTGTAGAATTCTGGCTACTAGGTTGTGCCTGTGCAAGTACTCAGAGTTAGAAAGCGCCGAACAACCGGAGATGACATGCCTAAGTGACTCACCGGGATGGCGACAAGCTCGACAGAAGTCGATGGTGCCATCCTTTAGGATGTATCTCCGATAGTTGTTGGTCTTAATAACCTGATCCTGTATTGCACAGACAAAACCCTCGGTTTCCCCCGAAGAGGTCACCAAAGCGTAGCCAGTGGAGAGAGGTTACTGTGTCTACGAAAGGCCCATGTAGAGACTTGTAGAACCTCCCGTGGAGCTCCTTCTCCTTCCATACGTTCTCCCGGTCGGAAATTGTCTGCACTGCCGGGTCTTGCCATTGCTCGTTGGCTAAGGATAGAGGGGTAAGTCCTTTATCACTAGAAATGACGTCCTTATAGAATGGATCATCCGATCTCGCCAGGAAGTAATTACGGAGGCTGCACACTTCGCGATTATGCATGGTGAGCGCGCTCAAGAAGCCACGCCCACCATGCTTTCGCGGCAAGTACAGCCTCATTACCGACGATCTCTGATGATGCATCCTGTGGGACGTCATGGTAGTGCGGACTTTTCTATCCAGGGCGTTAAGTTCAGTCTGAGTCCACCTGAGTATACCAAAGGTATACATGAGGACAGGTATGACCCAGCCGTTATATGCTTGTGTCTTATTCACACCGGACAAAAGGCTGTTAAGCACTTTGGTCAAGCGTGCATAAAACACGTCGCAAACTGACTGTTTCATACCAGCCTCATCGATACCAATGTTCTGTGACATACCCAGGTATCGGTATGTTTCAGCCTCGGAAAGGGTCCTTAAGTTGACGGGCATAGATAAGTCTATGCCCTCAGAGTTAGCAACCCTACCCCTCTCAACATGGAGGACCGCACACTTATCCGTCCCCAGCTCCATTCCAATGGAATTGCTAAATTCACAAGTGATGTTTAGCAGTTCCATAAGATGGGAGCGACTGGAGGCGAATAACTTGAGGTCATCCATATAGAAAAGGTGGGTCACTTTTGTCCCTCCTTTCCGTAGCTGAAATCCCCTCCCAGAGCCCTCCAGTAAGGTACTGAGAGGGTTCAGAGAGAGGCAGAACCATATTGGACTCAGAAAATCGCCCTGGAAGATACCCCTTCTTATCCTTATGTGGTTCTTCGCAGCCATCATCCGCTCGCCCAGATGACAAAGGATCGTACTCCACTGCCCCATACACTGCTCGAGGAAGTCTCTAACTGTACAGTCTATCTTGTACAGTTCGAGGACTCTCTTTAGCCATGTATGGGGCACCGAGTCGAATGCCTTTCTGTAGTCTATCCAGGCGGCGGAGAAGTTCCGACGGTTGCGTTTCACCACTTTGCCAATGACCGCGTCAATGAGGAGTGGTTCCTTGGTTCCACGACCGCCGCCCCGACATCCATTTTGAGCGCGCGACATCACCTGATTTGAGTCCAGGTGACGAGTGATTCTCGCGCTCAAAATGGATGTTAGTGTCTTATATATGGTCGGTAGACATGTGATGGGGCGGTATTTGCTCGGGTCTGTGATACTCTGGCCTTTAGGAACCAAATGGGTGATCCCAGTAGTGAAGAGGCTCGGGAGCGACTTCTGGTTGAGAACCTCTTAAAACTGTCGGGCGAGCACAGTGTGACACACCACGAACCCCTTCAGCCAGTAGTGATGCAGCCCGTCGAGTCCCGGACTTTTCCAGTTCGGGGCCCTACGGACCGCCTCAGCTACGTCATCCGGCGTTATGGTGACGGGGTCTATGGGCGTAATACCCGCACACTGACTCGCCACAACTTCCGTCCAAGGGCCCTCGTTGTTGTTTACGGGCTCTGACCACAGGCTGTGCCAGAATGCGACCGTGTCGGCCTGATTCGGTACTGGGCCCGTTCCACTTACCATTGGTCGCTCCAATGATTTATAGAGCCTCTTCTGATCACTCTGGAAGAGACGATTCTGGTTGAACCGTGTCGACCTCTCGGTATATCGCCGAATTCGCTTTCCCCAAGCAGCGATTCTCTGCTTCAGGTCGTCTATGCGCTCCGTCAGTTTTTGCATTATATCCGGCTGGGACAAACTAACATTTGTCCCAGCAAACGCCATCCTGACGGTGCGCACAATCCTTGGCCTGGTATTGCCTGACCTGAAGCATATCAGTCTGCCGATGAGGGCCCTAGCCTTTGCGATACGTTCTTCAATTCCTGTTCTCCAGGCTGGGATAGCACTACTTTGTCCAGTAGTGCGTCCAGCCGTGGAAAGTTTGGCGCCTATAATACGGCAGACTGCCAGTGCGGCGCCAAAGAGAATTGAGTCCGTCTCGCAAAGGTCCCGGCTGGCTTCCAAATAGGTCACCAGCATTGGGTTCAGAGCCCTCACGACAGCCCGATTCCGCTTGCTTAGGGCTATGCGGGGAAGTCGCGGTCGATTTTCGAGAGGCGTACTGCGCGTTTCCATAATCGCCTCTTCCAATGTACTCCTCATTTGCTCTATTTCTAGTTCCTGGGTGAATGTTCCATCATCATTTGAATCAGCAACCACTGGGGTATTCTCGGCGGCATCCACGTGTGCGGGTTGTTCTGCAACTTGTGGCACCGCACCCTCAGTCGTAGCGTTTTCATTTGATGAGGGAACAGCCTCACGTCGTAGCCGTTCGAGTTCGGCGCCATCAAATATATTTGAGCGTAAGATATACCGAACTCGGTCTGCCAGGTTTTGCTCGGTGACAGTAATAGATGGCTCCAGCTCAGTAAAAAGACGATGCATCCTAGCCCGATACGCGAAACCTCCAATTTCTCCCCCTTTCGCCCTAAAATACGCCCGCAATGCGTTTGAATTCATATTGATGGTCCATCGCATGCGGCGTACTCCACCAGTGGCGGGTGCCGATTGCTGGGCCTGCGAAGACCCTGCCGACACCAAGCAAGCTGGTGGGGATGATGGATGCGAGGGGCTACTGGGTGGTCGTGCAGCACCTCGCGCTCGGCTGGCGGTTCGCATGCTGTCGCGTCCAGCGCCAGCTCCAGACGCGCCCTGACGACCTCCAGGCAGCGGCCCTTTGCGCAATCTTCTATGTTCCATCATCCATACAGGGCGTCATTTAACGCGAGACGCCCAGACCCGGCGCCGTTTCATGGTGAGGCCATATGCACAAGCGGGCCCTTGCACCATCAATTTTTGCCGAGGCACGGCGCTCACACCTCTTGGCAAGGTGCTGACTGACTGCGCGGACGTAGCGGTTTTGTCACATAACCGTCACGTCAACGGGCGATGGGGTCGTCACTTCCCTACGCCATTATTATTATTATTATTATTTTTGGGGTATCTGTATAGTTTTCTCATCTGGTTGGTTTCTATAAATATATAATTATAAATTAAAATGAAAAGATAAATATACATAAATATCAATAAAATAAAATAAATACAAAAAAATACACAAATAAATAAAGATCCAACCAGATGGAAGCTCTCGGCAGGGGAGACCAAACGGCCGAGGGTTAGGGGGAAAGGGAAAGAAACCGACGGACGATGCGGGCGGTATCGAGGACCACTGCCTTCTGCATTTGAGCCCGGAGCGGTCCGTCACGGAGTCCCAGTCGCCTCAGATGACCCGAGAGGCTGACTGGGATTAGCCCGTTTGCAGAGACGACTACAGGAATAATTTCGGTCGGCAGACCACTCCACATGTCGGTCACCTCGTGAGCCAGGTCCAGATATTTTGTTTGCTTATCTGTTTCGGCTTTCACGAGGTTCTCGTCATACGGAATGGTAATGTCGACCAAAAATATCCTTGACTGTGCCCGGTCCATCAGCACAATATCAGGCTTATTTGCAAGAATAGTCCTGTCTGTGATGATGGCCCGGTCCCAGTAGAGCCTGGCGCGGTCATTTTCGAGCACGGCTTCCGGCAAGTACCTGTAATACGGCAATTTCCGGTCCACGAGACCGTATTTCAGAGCGAGCGCCTGGTGTAGAATTCTGGCTACTAGGTTGTGCCTGTGCAAGTACTCAGAGTTAGAAAGCGCCGAACAACCGGAGATGACATGTCTAAGTGACTCCCCCGGGATGGCGACAAGCTCGACAGACGTCGACGGTGCCATCCTTTAGGATGTATCTCCGATAGTTGTTGGTCTTAATAACCTGATCCTGTATTGCACAGACAAAACCCTCGGTTTCCCCGAAGAGGTCACCGAAACGTAGCCAGTTGAGGGAGGCAACTGTATCTACGAAGGGCTCATGTAAAGCCCTGTAGTACCTCCCGTGGAGGTCCTTCTCCTTCCATACGGTCTCCCGGTCGGAAATGCTAAGCACTGCTGGGTCCTGCCATTGCTCGTTGGCCAAGGATAGAGGGGTAAGCCCTTTATCACTAGAAATGACGTCATTATAGAATGGATAATCCGATCTCGCCAGGAAGTAATGACGGAGGCTGCACACTTCACGATTATGCATAGTGAGCGCGCTTAGAAAGCCACGCCCACCATGCTTTCGCGGCAAGTACAGCCTCATTACCGACGATCTCGGATGATGCATCCTATGGGACGTCATGGTAGTGCGGACTTTTCTATCCAGGGCGTTAAGTTCAGTCTGAGTCCACCTGTGTTCAATGCTCGCTCATAAAGCGATATGTGTTAGTAATAATGGTGTGAGTTAATAGATGGCGCTGTACTAATTATGTATATTTAGCAGTAATTGTAGTGTGGCTAGTTATTCATAGATGGCGTTGAATTTTGACACGAGTTTTGCAAGTCGCGATGTTAAGATCTATTCAAATTCTATAAAGGTGTTTGTGAAAATAAATGTTGTTGACTTGCCTTGGTGAATCTGAAGTTTTATTTATATTCGCAAGGAGCATTTTTTTGGGATTTAAACATTGGTCCTTCACGCCGGAAGTATACGGCTTTAGTGACTGGTGTTTGGTCCAAGCGGCGCTGACACGGTAGCGGATTGTTGCCGATAGTGCTGCTAACTGCGGGGAGCAGCATCGTCTGTCAAAGTGGAAGACATCAAGCGGAAGTTGGCAACGAACGAAGACGAGTTCCCGACGTGTGGAGGAGCCATTTTCGCCGTGTGGCTGCATCATCGATACCGGCGCTGGCAAAAGGACTGCAACTGCATGCAAGTATAAGTGTTGTGAATAGTGATCCGGACAAAACTGTGAGTACTTTCATAATATTAATTCGACAGCAAAATAAATTTGAGTGTTAAAGTGTCATTTTACAATTGCGTAGAACTTTGAAAAACTTAGTTTACTAATATTAGACTTAGAATAATTGTTTAAAAAGTGTTTATACGAGGAATCTATGCCCGATTTTATATCAACATAACAAGTTTGTAAACACTTTGAAAATTTCGTAATTTTGCTGGACTTGTAAAATTTTCGATCAAGATACATAGAAGGAATTACACTTGGAATTTTATAATTTATGTGCGATTAAGTTTGAAATTCTAAACACTTATATTATTTGAAATTTGAATGTACTGAATCTGTAAATTAGTTCTTAAGTAATTTTTCCTAACAGAAATAAGATGGCAAACTTTAATATACAAAGGGACATATACAAAAGAATTTCAAAGGCTCATCTTAACTTTAAGAAATCTCCAAAGGAGCGAATTGCGGAGCAGTACATTAAAACTAGACTCGAGAATTTAGAACAGTTATGGAATGATTTTAAAATTACACATCAAAAAATTATCCAGGATTCGGATTGGGATAAATTAGAGGCATCCGATTACATAAAAGAAGAACTCTATGACAAAGTCGAAGATTTATATATAGATTATAAATGTGATTTAAAAAATAAATTATCCATGCTAAATGAATCAGAGTTGCAAGCGAGTGGTGGTGGTTCGTTCACGTCCACATCAGTTAAATTACCAAAAATTACTATTCCTACCTTTTCGGGCAAATATAACGAATGGACAACTTTTAGGGACCTGTTTGTTTCGTTAATACACTCAAATGAGACCTTAGACGACGTTCAAAAATTACACTACTTAAAGGGTTATTTGACTGGTGAGGCGGAGCAATTGATTCGTCAGGTACCCACTACTGCAGCTAATTATAAGCAATGTTGGGAACAAATAGAAAAAAGATTTAATAATAAAAGATACTTGTGTAATTGTATTTTAAAGCGTTTATTTAATCAATATATGTGTAAAAACGAATCAGCTTTGGCATTAAAGGATCTTTTAGACAACACTAATGAGTGTTTACACGCTTTAACTAATTTAGGTGTGGATATTAGTACATGGGACATTATTATAATTTATATAGTAAGCTTAAAATTAGATACAGAGTCGCGGAAGTTGTGGGAAGTTAAAGTTAGCGAGTTTTCAAATGAACTGCCCAAATTGTCCGATTTAAAAAATTTCTTGGAACATCGGTTTAAGTCCTTGGAATTTTTGGACACTAAGATACAGAAACAAAATGGCAACCGTAATGTCAAGGTGCTTCATATTGCCACAGTATCTTGCACATTTTGTTCGGAGGCACATAAATTATGTAATTGTAAAAAATTTGCAACCAAGGACGTTGATGAGCGCCGGAGTTATGTTCAGGCTAATAAATTATGTTTCAATTGTTTAGGTGAAAATCACGCCGCATATTCATGCCGCCGGTCGACTAGATGTCGTATATGCCAGAAAAGACATCATTCTCTATTACATCCTAAATCTGTTCCTAAACCGATTGACAACGATAATAACGTTGTTGCTGCAGCAGCAACAACTTCCAATTCGCCAAGTGAGTCCACCAATACTATTGTTTCATGTTTTTCGGATGTTCATAGCCAATCACTATTGGCCACGGCCTTGGTCGAGGTCGAAACCAAAACTGGGGCATTTGTTTTATTAAGAGCGCTAATTGATCAGGGCTCTCAGGCTTCGTTCATCACGGAGTCAGCTGTCCAGTTACTGGGTTTAAGGAAAATTCCGACAAAAGCTGATATTTCCAGGTTAGGCGATGAGGAGAGTGGTACTTTACCCTCTAAAGCAATGGTCGTAATAAAACTTCACTCACGCCTTGACCATTCATTTATCGTAAATACCAAGGCGTATGTTTTAAATAAATTAACGTCTCTGCTTCCCGAAAGGAAGATAGTTCATGTTTCATCAACACTTTCTAAAATGGATTTGGCAGAACCAACATACGGAATGCCAAATAAAATTGACTTAATACTGGGAACCTGTGTGTACAGCGAGATTTTGCTGGAAGGATTAATGAAAGGCCCACCCGGGGCTCCTCTTGCGCAAAAGACAGCACTAGGGTGGATTTTATCTGGCAATGTTCATAATCATGGATCCAATCACCATAGTTCTAAGATGTGTCACAACATCATCATTGGCCTACACGTTCAAATGAACGACAATGAGCAGCTCAAAAGGTTTTGGGAATTAGAATCAGATGATTCTTTGTTACGTAAAAAATATCTAACTGACGAAGAAAATAAATGCGAACAAATATTTTCTGAAACCACACGAAGGGATGAGTCAGGACGATACATCGTCAAACTCCCTTTCAAATCTGGAGATCCAGCATGCAAATATGGTGGTTCGGAAAATATAGCGCGCAAACGTTTTTATGCTTTAGAAAGAAGGTTTCAACGTGACACAAATTTTCAAAGCCAATATACGAGCGTCATAAGAGAGTATGTAGACTTAGGCCATATGGAACATGTTTCGGAAAAAGAAATTAAAAAACCAGGCGCTGTCTACTTGCCCCACCATGCCGTTCTGAGGAACGACAAAAGTACGACCAAGGTAAGGGTCGTGTTTGATGCATCTTGCCCTGGTGAGAATGGCGTATCATTGAACAATGATTTGATGGTCGGCCCAACACTTCAACCTGATCTGCGACATATCATCATGCGATGGCGTCGTCATCGTATTTCTTTGGTCGCTGACATTGTGAAAATGTACAGACAGGTTAAAGTGTTTCAAGATGATACCGACTATCAAAGAATTCTGTGGCGGGAAAACCCAAATGAGGATTTGCAACACCTACGTTTATTACGTGTCACCTTCGGTACATCTTCAGCACCGTATCTAGCTGTAAGATCATTGCAACAGCTTGTGTACGATGA